ATGACTCTTTTCTCCCCTCCCAGGGGGAGAAGCTAATTTAGTTCTTAATTGTTCTGTCCCTTGAACCTCTCTGAACAAAAATGAGCACTGAGGAAAAGCTATACAGCAGTCCAAGGCCAGAGCCCTAGGCTCTCTATTTTCCCAGGTGGAACTGCTATCACACATGTGTGTGAACATGAATAAAGACAATGGATTTTTGTCAAGACTTTAACCTAACCTGAAGCCCTTCCCAGATGCTACAAACTGATCCTAAAAGAAGTCTTGTTCTTTGGTGAGCACACAAAGCAAAATGACAACAAACAACAAAACAAACCTACAATCCTGTCCCTTTGGAGGTCTTATAAATCACGTACTTCTGTTTGGTGCTCTGGTGGTACAGTGGTTAAGCACTCAGCTGCTAACAGAAAGGTCAGTGGTTTGAACCTACCAGCCACTCTGTGGGAGAAAGATGTGGCAGTCTGCTTCCATAAAGATTTACAGCCTTGGAAACCTATGGTTCAGTTCGACTCTGCCCTAAAGGGTTGCTATGAGTCATAATTGACTCCACAGCAATAGATTTGGTTTTAGTTTTGACATCTGTTCTCATCATCTCTATATCTAGCAATTTCCCGAAAACAGACAGCATTTGTTTTCTCAAATGTTATAACCTGTCAATCATAAGAGATGATCCTGAGACCATTAAACTGAGCTCCACTAGAGCTGGCGCACGTTTATAGAACATCATGGTCTCAAAGGAGAGTAAATGGGGCTCAGGGTGAGTATGACAGCTCCTATTAAAGTTCAGGTCTCCAAAGCAGAAGTAAACAGAGCTAAAAAACGGTACCTGATCCTAGTCATAGATTATAGAAGCTAAGACTACCTGTTTTAACTCTTAGCTTTGCCACTTCCTATCTACTACCTCAGTTTTCTTATCTGTAACATGGGGATAATAAGAGTAGCTTCTTCAAAGATTAAATTAGCTGATACCTTTTTATGACATGAAAAATGCTTAAACAGTACCTAGTGCACAGTAAGCCTTCAAACTAAAGAGCTCTGGTGGTACAGTCCCTAAGGCATCTGACTGTTAACCAGAGGTTGTGGTTCAAATCCACCAGCCTCTCTGCAGAAGGAAGATGGGGCAATTCACTTCTGAAAAGATTTACTGCCTCCTGGAAACCCAGAAGGGGTCACTATGAGTCAGCATTGACTTGATGGCAGTGAGCTTTGGTTTTGAGTTTTTAATTTTATAACTGTTATTATTCCTAGCTATTCTAGATTTCTGCAAAAGGGATATCCCTATCTGTAAAGGTGTCACTTTGATGACTAAGGTATGCCCGACCTAAGCCATGATCTTTTCAATTGCCTCATAAGCACGTGAAAGATGAACAATAAAAAAGGACAGAAGAACCGATGCATTGGAACTGTGGTGTCAGTGCAGAACATTAAATGTACTGTGGACTGCCAGGAGAATGAGCGAATCAGTCTTAGAAGAAACACAACCAGAGTACTCCTTAGAAGTGAGGACAGCTACACTTTGTCTTGCTTACTTTGGTCATATCATCAGGAAAAACCAGTCACTGAAAACAGTAGCAGGCTTGGTGAAGAATATCATCAGTGAAGATGACGGAACCCCTCCATCAGATGAACTGACAGAGTGGCCACGACAATGAACTCAAACATACCAATGACCAGGAAGAGGGCACAGGACCAGGCAACGTTACACACGGTCTCCGTGATTGGAGCTGACTCCAAAGTACCCCATGACAGCAACGTCTAAAAGATACACCTGAGTAATCATTCTTTTTCTCAAACTAGACATTTCTGGGAATAATGCAAAATTTAAGCAATAAGTTAAAACAATTCAGAGAGTGAATTATTCCTGGCTCGCCTTGCCTGGAGTAGGCTGAAAATGTTCCCTTGTGCCCAAATGTTATTACAGAACATTTATCAGGTTCTCACTGAGTATGCTTTAAGGCATGAGGGCTGTCAAACCTCCATTCCACTCCCCTGCAACCCTGAAAGCTTCTCAACTCCAAGCTTCAGGCATCTGCCACTAATCAGTTGAGATTTTATCAGGGGAGATAAAATAAAACCTGTAAGTCATCCATGGTATTGTTTTTGTTGTTGTTATGTGCCTTCGAGTCAGACCTGATTCATAGCGACCCCTCCTCCTTGGGTTGCTGAGGCAGTATCACTACGGAAGTAGATTGTTCACCCTTCCTTCTGAGGAGTGGCTGGTGGGTTTGAGCCCCCAGCCTTCTGGTTAGCAGTCAAGCGCCCTTAGGCACTATGCTACCAGATCTCCCATCCATGATATAAGACATTCTTAATTTGCAAAGAAGGGATTCAATCTCCTTTATAATGGTGGTACTGAGAGAGATATACAATCTCTAATTTACCGACAAATGCCATTATACCAGAATTTACTTCTATTTAGTCTCAGAGGTAAACTATGGGAGAAGAAACTATTATTTTAGTTGAAATATATCTAAGGTTGGTGAAATACAGAATTGGGTAAGGGAGTTTTGTGTTATAATTCTTTTAGATTACTACAAGATTCCACTCTTTATACAGAAACATTAATTATTTAATCAGTAGACTAGTACCCCAAAGGAGAGCTTCTCAGTGAATATGGTAGGTCTTCAAGAGATAATGACCTTCTCAGCTCTATGGTGATTGGGAGTAGGCTACTTAGGGCAGCCTTATCCTTGAACAGTGGACAGGCTCCTCCATGTGCATCAGTTTGCTGAGAAAATATAATTTCCTAAATGAGCCATGACTAGAAAAATTTCTGGAACGTCTGGTTTAGGAAATAAATACATTTTTGAAAGCCCCTTCATTTGTAACCATGATAAAGGTTAAACACGGGGTGGATTATTGCATTTCCTGATCATGGTTACTGATGCACATAAGCTCTAGAAAAATCAGATACATACTTGTGATCTGTGGGCTCAGTCCCATAACAAAAACTGTGGGGTAGCATCCTTTCTTTGTAAGTCACAGAGACATACTAAAGGTAGCACAAATAATGAGGGTTTTTTGTAAGGCTCATCAAAGAAGGTAGGGATCCCATGGTACTCAAGGACTGGGCTTATCTGGAGACAGCATATGGAAGTCTGGAAGCCATGGAGATCTCAGCCACAAGAGCCCCTGGGTCTTGCCTTGGATGCTCCACTAATAACGTGACTTGGTTACACTCTCTCCTCGCTTCTCTTTGTGAGATTGATTTGCATCTTCTCCAACTACCAGTTGCAAGCGTCTATTCTTTGTCTTTTATGCTAGCTCTTTGCTTCTGCTTACTTCTAGGGTCTAATTTCTCATAAACTCGGCCTGCTTATGATTCCTCCGCTCCTGACTTCTACTTGACGGTCAATCTCAACCAACCAACCTTCCTCCCTCTCACCTTCCCTCCCTCCTGTCCTCTGTGGATCTCTCAGTGTTGGTTTCTGTTGCTACCTTCCTGTCTCTCTCCAAATTTCCCAATTCACATTCTTGAGAGTAAAGATCTGGGTAGTCCTGCCTATCCCTGAGTAGTCCTGCTTGGACAGAACCTCAGGACATTTCCAAAGTTTGGATGATCTCGGGTTAAATGACCACTGGCTGAGAGGAGCTGGAGTCACAGGGTAAAATCAATATGTCCCTTCAACAGGGCTGTATTGGGTGGGACAAATTTCCTTTGAAGTACCCTATGTAGGGAAGACATAATATAAAACAAGAAAAAGACACAATATAGAACAGTCCCTCTTAGGAGAACTAAGTTTTATTCTTCTAGTTGTCAAAAAGACTATCTAAATACATTCATGGTCTCATAAAGAGAGCTTTTTGGTAATTCTTGTCTCTTTCCCTTTCTCTCCTTCCATCCATCCACCTTTACACTCATCCACGCCCTCATCCAGGTATGTACTGAGCGCCTCTGCCTCCAAAATAAATGCACATCTCTGAGGAAAATAATGGCCTTTGAGGACCACAGATCTACTAGGGAAGTTGAGTATGCAAATAATTATAAGTGCTTGAAGGATATATATAAACAAGATGCTATGGAAGTTCAAAGGAGGAAGACATCACCTGGCTGGAGCAGATGGCATTTCATCTGGGCCCTGAGAGATGGGGGAAGGTTCCACTATCCAGTCCAGACATTAAGGAACAATATGGGCTTAAGCTTAGGGTTGTAACATCAAACTCCAGGTTATGACATTCTAAATTTTAGAAGAAATGCATCATCTCTGTGAAAAATTCAAAAATCATACTAAAAGTACATAGCATAAAAAGTTTCTCTCTCATTACTATAACTGGTTAGTATAAATTTTTCTAGATGTTTTCTATACCATTACATTAAATCTTTATAATTATTTGGCTATACAGACATTATTAAACCATTTACAAAGAGGTGGGTTAAATAACTTGCCCAAAGTCACACAACCTACTAATCATTGGAATTGGGATTTGAACCAAGTTCTGCTGATTCCAAAGCTTTAAATGTTTCTATCATATCTTGTTATCACAGGGATACTGCCTTTCCACAGTGGCAATGAACAACATTGTCTTTAACTAAAATAGAAAAGTTCAATTCAGTCCTGTAAGTGGTTCTTATTTATAGGGGGTCATTTGGGCCAGGGTTGTAAAAAAAGCCAGCCCTGGGTCCTTACCCAATAGCCAGATGGGAAAGTTTTAATTTATAATAGAAAGTTCTACCTCTACCGAGATGGGCATCCAGGTCTTATCAGAACTTTTGGTGGTACCATAAATTTACTTTTATCTCTAACAGGAGGTGAATTTTACTTCAGTAATGGAGTGCTGGTCCAACTCTTGAAGACTTAAAGAAAACAGAGAGTCAGCATGCTTCCCCTCTACAATAATACCTTTAAAGGAGACCCAATGATTATTTATCAGTTTGCCTCTAGTAGAAAAGCCAACTCATCTTACTCAAGTTTTTCCTTTCAATATCCCGTCAGACTTCTAAAGAAACACATCACAGAGCATACATGAGGGAAAGTGCAGTTACGTGGATATGTAACACTTACCCCACACTGCCATGAAAACAGCAAAGAAGACAGTGGCTCCATTGTCAAAAAGGTGGGTCACCTGGGAACGATATGAATCACAGTTAAGCTAATTTTGTATATGTGATATGCCAATTCAGATTTTATTCAAGTTCTGTGAAAACTGTTGTGATGACACAATGTGCTTTATAGAGTTCCTTTGGGGATATTAGTTTTGAACCCTAATTAAAAAGGGGATTCTTCCACCTGTGAAGTAGTTCAGATATGGAAGAAAGAATCTGTACCATTTATATGGGCATCTTCTAGTTGAACATTTATCAGCAGTCCCAAAAGTACTACTAAAAATTTCCTTTAATACATGTTCATAAGTATATGGCTATATTTATATTTAAGATCAGGAAGGCAGTATCGTTGCTACTTTAAATGTTTCTGATTTTCCAAGCACTGATTTTAATGCCTCATCTGTTCACTTTGAAAACATGGCTATGTTGTTTGTGCAGTTTGGAGCAAACAATTTCTGGGCTACCCTCTGAATCTCAGCATTATAAAGGAGAGAGCGGAGCCATTAACACCATCCTTCTCCACCTTTACTAGAGCCTCAGGTAATCACTGTATTTACCTACTAGACATACACAAAGATGGCTAGCATATACTTTATTGCTAGAATAATATATTCTATTGCCAACATAAAAAAATAACACAAAAATATCTATTTCTTGATGCAAAACTGCCATGCTCATTTCTGCCTCCATTATAAATCACCACTACATCCATGCCAAATGGGAATGATGACTGATGCCTTCATAAAACATAACCTGCTTTTTTCTTTTTTGTATTTTATAGCATTCTAAAAAGTATACTTTACTGTCCCTTAGAGAATGTCAAGTATAAACAGGTCTTTTCCGTTGAATCAGAGTGTAAAATACTGTAGATTCTCAAGGTTTACGTTTTTTTCTTTCTTTGAACACAGGAGAAATGAGCAGCATATCAAACACCTGAAGGAGACAAAAGTCTAAGTCCGATTCATTTCCTATGCCAGAAGGACTATTAACCTGTATATTGGGAGCTGGACACTTAGTATCAAACTAGAAAGTTCCAGTGTTATCTGGTTGGTCTGTACTCCCTATCAGGGTATTTCCTGTGAGATGGTAGAAATTGTAGCCTACACCACCAGTGCAGATTCTGGAATGGACTTTGGTTGTCTCTGCTTTGGCTGTCATTCATTCTCCCTTCTCCAGGTAACAGAGCCCTCTCCTGCTGGCCACTAGGGACATATGACTCAAAGAGGACCAATCAGAGTCCTTCCTGGGGCTGATATACAAACATTTGGAGAGAAACATGTTTTTCTGTTGTAGTTAAGTATTTGGGAAGACGTTCACCAGGAAGGTTGAATTAACAGGGGATTCTGGTTCCTACTAAGATGGTGAGCTAGCACAGACTGATAGTACTCGCTGCCAAAATCAACCCTGCAGAAGCAAGATAGCAGATTCGGGAACTAACAAAACACAGACCAAACAAGCAAGCAAACATAAACACCCCCCAAGGAACCCTAGGGGAGGCTTATGGCTTTCTTAAATTGGGGTGTGTGTGTGTGTCTGTGTGTTCATGCACATAAGGGTGGTGGTGTGTGGAGAGAGTCAGGTGGCACTTGTCAGGCAGAGAGAGAGCATGGGTTGGAGAATAACTTAGGTTCCACTCTAGCCTCTCCTTCAAATTGTTTCTAGATGATTATAACTCCCTATTCCTTCAGAATCCAGCTACAACAGTCAAACATGGGTACTGGTGTTCTTAGGGTAACTTTAGGGCAGCTCAAAGCCCTTGTTAGTTGATGAGCTGAGGTAGTAGGTGCTGACTGGCCAGCTGCCCTTGGGCACCCACTCCCCAGTCCTGCCCTTCTTAAACGCCCAGTATATGATCACCAAGGGAGAATGCTTTGTTTATTCTGACCAGCTGAGTTCTCTGATGGATTGGTAGCATGCAGTGTGCCTGGGGCATATCGTTCTCCCTCTTCTTATTGACCAGGACTGATGGATTAGGGCCTGACCTCTGGCCTTTTCCCAAAATGGTGCCCATAAGCCAAAGTAATGGACCATCTGGGGAAAACAATCAACTCTAAAAAAATTTCATAGTAGGCAACATACATCTTCTGAAATAGACATTTGGTAACAGCAGAGCAAGCATTTAAAATAAGCATAAAAACATACTTCAGGATATAAAGGATGGAAGATGTCAGCCTGGAGCTGTTGGCAGCCACAGCCCCCGTCCCCATCGTGTGAACAGAACCTGTCTGCAGAATGATCAACTAGACAGGTGGGCAGAGATACACACCTGGGGCCAGGAATATGTGTTCTGAGCTATGAGGCCCTTGTGCTCAGATAGTATGAGCTAGCCCCGGATCTTTTCCAGCAAAACAGTCACGAAGTTGCATTCTGCTTAAAGCAGTTGGAGTTGGGTTTCTGACCCTTGCAGACGCACGGGTTGTGGACAATGCAACTCAGGTCAGCAGAACAGCTGTTAATCGGACTGGAAACAAATCTGATTTGATCCAACCAACACTCATGTATCCAGAGTCTCATGAACTTTCTAATAAATGTTTCTAAAGGGAACATAATTTCAATTCTGTTATTCTAAGGCTTTTCAGTTTTCATTTACTCAATTTCTCGGCAAGACAAAATTTTAAATCTAGAATCTGAACATTTTGTAGTTCATCATGGCCCACTGGTAAAAAAGACGTATTTCTAGGCAGTCAATCCTAGGCCCAGCTACTTCCAGCCATGTGACTGTGGAGAGCTATTTGGACCTCTCTAAGTGTCAGTTTCTTCATCTGTAAACTGGGAATGATAAAACATACCCTAAAGCTGCTACAAGAGTTAGAAATAATAAACAAGGGCTGCCTAACTCTTATTAGAACTATCCACATCACCACCACCAGGTGCTGTTGAGTTGGCTCTGACTCGTGGGGGCACCATGTGTGTCAGAGTAGAACAAAGTTTCACAGCATTTCCAATGGATGAGTTTTTGGAAGTAGATTGCCAGGCCTTTCTTTTGATTCACCTCAGGGTGCACTTGACCCTCCAACCTTTTGGTTAGCGGGTGAGTATGTTAACCATTTCTATCACCAAGGGACTCTTATTATAGCTATAGCCTAGATATTATGATCATTATTATTGTTCTAGAACTTAGTAGGATAACTGCCAATAAAGCCTTGTAAAGGTGATGCCCTATAAACTATTCATGGTGATCCTTTTAAGTAATTATCATGGATCTCTAGAAAGATAACTTCACTTGAGGCAAATTTTTCCATGTTTTTTTTTTTTTTTTTAAATACAGAAAAACAAAAAGCACTAAAAACAAAAAGCTAGGCTTCTAAGAGTCCCCAAAATGCAGGATTTTTGAAGCTGAGTCACTCTGGCTCAGTGCAGGACCTTTAAACAGAGTTACTGACAAAACTCTTCCAATCAGGCTTACTCTGTTTAATCAGTCCTGATACATTCAGGTCGATCTGTGTGTTTGCCAGAGGTAGGGAGGGCATTCTGCACCTTTTTCGTCCCTTGCAGCCGATCCTAAGAGCCCAGATTTTTATGAAATCATAGTTGACTGTGGTGGTTAAGGTGCCTCCCACACAGACTGGCCACCTTCAGACTCATGGGCTGCCCATCAAAATGCTCTGCCATTTAAAATACACGCAAAGTTTGCCATGCATTAGACAAGCCAAAGCTACAGTGATCACAGAGCTGCAACGAAATTTGCCAGCCCCTTTGTGTTCTGGAATCTGGGCAAGCTTACAGGCAGTGGGTCTTGGAAAAGCCTTCATCAACCGAGCAACCAATCCAAACTCCACTAGTGTTTTGCATACGTGACACTGCCTCTAAGTAAAAAAAACCTCTAGGAATTTGATGACTGTGTCTACAATTTTAAAAAGTCATAATATGAGAAAGGGGCATGCAATAACATAGGAGAGAAATAATGGTGTCATTTATTTGTTTCTTTCAAAGCACTTTCCCATCTGCTCTCTTCTTTGGTCCTCATGACATGCCTCATGATGAAGCAGACAGGGCAGGTATCATGGCCTGCATTTTACAGATGACACAGTTTAGGCTCAGAGAGGGTCTACCTGCTCGAGGTCATGGAGGCAAGTGACTGAGCTAGTACTTGCATTTAGGTCTTTTTGATGGTTACAAGAAAGGGGAGGAAAATGGTGGCAGCTGTCATTTACAGAGATCATTTGCCAAGCACTATACCTCATATCTTATTTCTTAGAACAATCATCTGAAAATCATGGTATAAAACCATAAGGTTTTCACTGGCCAGTTCTTTGAGAAGTGGATGGCCCCTTCCTTCTTTTGAGTCTGTCTTAGTTTGTAAGCTCCACTGAAACCTGTCCACCACGGGTGACCCTGCTGGTATTTGAAATACTGGTGGCATAGTCTCCAGCCTCCCAGCAACATGCAAGCCACCACAGTATGACAATCTGACAGATGAGTGGTGGAATCATGTGACACAGCCACTCTCTTCCCCATTTTACAGATGGAGAAACTGAGGCTGAGAGAGGTTAAATAATGTGCTCTTGCACAGACAAGTGGTAACGAGCAGAGTCAAGATCTGAGTCTCACCTTCTCTGACAGCAGTGCTTTCTGTCCTGTGCTATGCTATAGCCTCTTATGAAGACTGGAGCCAATACTTTTTTTGTAAAAAAAAAAAATACATTTTATTGAAATATAATTCAGGCACAGTGAAATACAAAAAACTAAAGTGACATGGGTCAATGCTTTTTTTTTTTTTTTTGCAGTGTTCCCTCCCCTCCCAATATGTTGGGAGCCAATACTTTTTCAGTACATACATATTTTAAAAGATACCTGAATTACGATACTAACCTTGAGAATCAAAGGACTGAAATGACAGAGAATGTAGTCACCTACCATCTATGATAGTGAACGTTATGTGTCAACTTGGCCAGGCTAAGATTCTCAGTGGTTGGGCAGGCACTATGCAATCACCTTCCATTTGGTGCTCTGATATGATCAGCCAACCAGTTGAAAAGGGAGCTTCTTTGGGGGCATGGCCTGTCCTTAGTATGTTGGATGTTCTGGCAAAGCTCTCTCCCAACCTTGTACTCTGCCTGATTCTTGGGATAAAATAGCCTGCAGAGGCCTCCAGCCTGCTACCTGACCTGCAGATTTTGTGTTTGTCCACCCCTCTGACCATGTGAGTCAGCAGAGGTCTTCAGCCTCTTGTCTGATCCCTGGATTTGGGACTTGCCAACCCACACAACTGTGTGAGCCATTTTCTTCAAGTTAATCTCTCTTTCTCTATTTATACATATGCTTCCCTGGTTTTGTTCCTCTAGAGAACCAAGACTAGGACATTATCCCTCTGTAAAAAGACACAATTGCCATAGAGTCTTCTCCAAATCATGGTGGTGCCATGAGTGTCAGAGTAGAACTGTGCTCCACAGTGTTTCCAATGCCTGAGTTTTATTTATTTATGCTTTAATTTTGCTTTGGGTGCAAATATTACAGAGCAGAATTTGTTTTACATTCAACCATTCGTGTACAATTGGTTTCATTCCCTGATTACCATCCCCAACTCTAACCCCCTCTCCTCCCCTCCCGTCTCTGTGACACCCCACCCCCCTGCCATGCCCTTTTTAACTATGCATTCCTGTCTGTCCAGCTTTCCCTCAATGTGAATGCTGCCCCTCTGGTGCCCTGTGGCTGATTGCTCCAAGGGGTGTATCTCCATAGAGTAGGTGGGTGCCCTGGGTTAGGTGTTCTCCATGTAAGTCTTCCTACTGTTGACAGTGAGTGCTATCCCAGGCCCGAAGTGTATTCCAGGGCTATAGTCTTGGGGGTCCCACCAGACTCCATCTGACCAGTAATTCTGGTTCAGTGCCTGAGTTTTTGGAAGCAGATTGCCTGGGCTTCCTTTTGAGGGATCTTTGGGTGGTCTGAGCATGTTAACTGTTTAAACCACATTCAAGAAGGAGTATGTTCTAGTCAATCCACCTAAAGTGCTTCATAAGGGGGTCTGGTAGCACAGTGCCTAAGGCATCTGACTGTTAACCAGAAGGTTGGTGGTTCAAACCTACCAGCCACTCCATGGAAGCAAGACTGGGCTATCTACTTCTGTAAAGATTTACTGTCTCGGAAACCCAATGGGGGTTGCCATGAGTCGGAATCGACTTGATGGCAGTGTTTTTTTTTTTTTTTTTCAGTGTTTCATATTTGAAATTACCTTGGCATAAACACAGCTGTCTGACAGCCTCATGAATGGACAGTATTTATCACACACAGGACACATGATGATATCTACAGCTTGGCAGACTTCTTTACTGAAAAAGAGAACAGAGAGAGAACTGCTATTTGATGACAATACAGCATTATTTTCCCTTCACCTTAACCAGAATGTTCAACTGGTAAATAAGATTCAGTAGATTAAATTTCTGCCTTCAGAAGCTGCATAGCCTTATCTGTTATTAATGTAAACAAGTGCCTGCACATTTTTATAATTTGATAAACCTACTTATTTATGAGGTTGTTCCTTGGCTTTACATATTAAGTTAAACTCAGGAAAATATGTGAACCAAAGCATCGGTTGTTACACTCCAAATTACACAAAAGTTATTCACAACATTTCACAGGTTTGAAGTAATTTCACACTGAGTTATGGGAACAAGGAAATACCTAAAAATGCTGCCTTTATTTCTGTTTGTATAAGTTAAAACAAATAATGGAGAAATAAATCAAAATAACTAGGGATTTTAGTTCTGGGAGAAAACTACATTTCATTAGCAATTTCACATATATATATATATATATATATATATATATATATATATACATATTTTGTAGGTGATAGGCTGAATCACTCTCTCTCTTTTATTATTTGCAGATCATTTTTCAAAGGCACATTCATTATTTATTGCAATAAAATCTCAACGAACACTTTGAACTATATTCTGGTGAGAGAAACAAGGTAATAATCTTTCCTCAACATCGAGCCATTCTTAAGTACAGGTTAGTGAGGTATCTTTCTGGCCCAGGTCGTAAAAAACACAGAATTCATACAAAAGGATGATTAACCCACTATTTTGCAGTGTTAGCAAGGGGGAAAATGGTGAAAGAGTCCTTTGTGCCAGCGAATGAGTGACTTGTTCTGTGGATGTATAACGGGTTCCTGCTGTTAGCTGTCCATGCAGTAGCCTCTGACTCGTCGTGCCCCCATGCACACTGGAATGAAAGCTGCCTGTTTCTGCACTATCCTCATGATCAGCTATTGATCAGACTGTTGTGATCCACTGAGCTTTCATTGGCTGATTTCCAGAAGTAGGTTGCCAGGCCTTTCCTCTTGGTCTTAGTCTAAGGCTCTGATGAAACCTCTTCTGCATCATAGCAACACACAAGCCTCCAGTGAGAGGGAGGTGGCAGCTGTGTGTGATCTGCATTGGTCAGGAATGAAACCCAGGCCTCTTGCATGGAAGGTGAGAATTCCATCACCGAACCACCAACTTTGTTTCCTTGGTAGCTAAAGACCACAGCACCCATGGCAGTGGACAGAGAGAAGCTAGGGTATTGAAGTCTGTCAATTTTTCCACGAGAGATTGGAGAGGAAGTTAGAATAAACATCCAAATGTGCCCACAGTCTCTGAATAACCCCCAAACCAGAAACAGCCATCTGTAAATAATAAGCAAAGGCAGGCTCAGTAAACAGCTCTCCATACCTGACTTGGCAGTGATCCAGAGTGGTGACTCCATACAAAAAGACAAATAGTCCAATGAAGGCAGCTGGGAAGAGCATGCCGGTGTACCAGCCCAACCAGGCGAAATACAACCCAATCTTCTCTCCAAAGTACCGCCTGTTTAAGACACATCAATCTTGCATATTACAGAGAAGTGTGCAAAGTGAAGCATTATAACACTTTGTTCAGTTGTTTTGCTTTGAAAAAGCCTAACACGCAGAAAAGACAAGCCAAGGGAATGAACATTTGACCAAATCTAGAGTTGGGACTGAAATTTCCTCTCCTATTACTTTGCAGAAGAAATAGAAGCTAACCCTCTCATAAAAGAACATGATTATACACAGGTTTATTCAGAAGAAACCCACACTGCTCAGGAATTAAGATATGACACTGTTGAGGACAAGAAACCAGGGGAATTTTAGGATTTGGTGTCAATACATAATCTCATCTTTGTCTTTTCCAAGTGTGGGCTATGTTTGTATGTATACATTATTATTACATCTTTTCCAAAAGAGTAAACCAAGTTATTGCGAAAGCTTTAAACATCCTTTTCTTATAGCTGCAGAATCACCAGAGTTTAGAAAGAAAAGAACTCTAGGACCACTGAGATTCAATATGACTCAATGGCTGAAAGCAACTTTTCATCTTATGTTATGTCTCTTCACAGGGATTACCATCTACCTCTGTAAATATTTTTCCTGTTGTCTCACACCTGAGACTAGACTACCTGCCTGGTGCCCAGTGGTCTGGGAAGTTTGGAAGTGTTCAGGAAGTTTCTTGGTTTTGTTTTATTTCTTAAACATCATTGATAATTTGATCAACTTATATTAGAATACAATCCAAATTGTGCTTTCAATGCCTTTCAATAGTTACATTTCATAGCTTAGAAGTTAATTATTTCTTAGTCTAATATAATTTTCTATTTTTTTCATTATTCTATACAAATGTTGCTGACTATCTGTTTCCAAATAGTGTCTACTGCCTTCCTCCTAGAGTACCCAAAGGTTCATAAAAGCATGAGATTATTTATTTACCCCATCTTTCGCTGTGCCCCTGTGAAATTTTCTGCTTCCAGAAGACTTTGCCAACATATACTCACTTACATATATATTCATTTATGCATTCAACAAATAGAAAGCACCTACTAAGTCCCAAGTACTGTGTTAAGTATTGAGAATATAATGTGAGCAAAATAAGCTTGGTTCTTGCTCTTATGGAGCTCTCTGGCTGATAGGTGAGACACATATTAATCAATTAAATGTGAGCTTATAATTATAAAAATGAGAAAAGAGCTACAAAGTAGAGGAACACGATTCTACAAGTATATATAACAAGGTCATCCAATGACTCTAGTCAGGGAAGACTTCCCTCAGAAGGTGACCACTGTGCTGATGACTAGGAATTAACTAGGTGGGGATGGGGATAGGAGAGTGTTTCTGGGAGAAAGAACAGTATGTACAAAGACCCTGTAGTAAAAGGGATCAGGTGAAATAAGGGCAGTGTAGGTGGAACACGGAGAACAAGTGGTAGGATGGAAAGGTATGTGGAGGGTGGGCCTTAAAGGGCCCTGTAGCCAAACCAAACCAAACCAAACGAGTTGCTGTTGAGTTGACTCTAATTCACGGGCACCCCCATGTGTCAGTATAGAACTGTGCTTCACAGGATTTTCAGGGGTTAATTTTCAGAAGTAGATTGAAAGGTTTGTCTCCTGAGGCACCTCTATGTGGACTCAAAACACTGACCTGTCGGTTAGCAGCTGAATGCATTAACCATCTACATGACCCAGGGATTCAATAGGTCTTATAGATCAAGCTAAACATACCACTCTTTGTCTTGAGAGAAATGGAAAACCATGAAAAGGTTTTAACCAGCTAAGGACATGAGCAGACTCACATTCTGAAAAGATCACTCCGTGTGCATGGTGGAGAATGGATTGGAAAGGGCTAGCATGGTTAAGGCATTGGGCTACTAACTACCAAGTTCAAACCCACTAGCTGCTCCATGGGAGAAAGATGAGGCAGCCTGCTTTTGTAAAGATTTATAGCCTTGGAAACCATATAGGGGTCACTGTGAGTTGGAATTAACTGGATGGCAGTGGGTAGGTAGCATGGGAAAAGAGAAATTCAGTAGGAGACTACTTCAAGTATAGTTCAGGCTACAGAGGAAGGTAGTGGTAGTGGTAGTGGCAGAGGAGATGCTAAAATGATCTGAGATATGTGTAGGAAGTAAAATCAATAGAACAAGAACAGGAAGATTTCTTAAGTGCTCTGTGAGTTCGTTCTAGTTAAGGCTTTGTTGTATCTTTCACCCGCCTTCCCACTGTGGCCAACACAAACACTGCCATTCTTCCAGGGCCCGGTACTACAAAGCCTTCCACAGATGTGCTGCCTGTATCCATCCTTTTCACATTTGTGAATTATTGTAAAACGTTTGGCCTGTGTCACACATTGTTTTCCTCATTGTGGATGGTCTTGTATTGCTTTCTCATTGTCTCAAGTATAAGGCTTGTTTTTCTGAAAGAATCTATGAGTTTCTCAAAGCCAGAGGCCATGGCTTCTATTTGTTTTTGCCAACAGTACTTAGCACAGCACTAGAAACACAATGGGTACTTAATTAATACTCACTGAAATATCTGAATTATCTTAATCAAAATACTGTTACGGATGGGAGACGTTTTGCTTGCGGCAATTTTCTGTAATTTGTAATCAATGCAATCCGATAATATGGCACTGAGGTGGGGGAGAGAATTTGCTTTTATTCTTTTCTCCACTGCTTTATCATGCATTGAGACTGGTCCAAGGAAAAATATCTCATCTCAGAAAATATTTTCCACTCACCCAGATCACATGGGGTCATTTGTTACCAACACAAAGAAGAGGACACAATTCATCCCTGTCCTTGGATCATCAGGAGTAAATACTTGGAATAAGGTAACAAGGGCTCTGGCAGGAAGAATGACTCCCCAAGGAGATGAAATGTAAAATGAGTTGTCTTATTCTTCTTCTTTTTTTTTTTTTTTTTTTCTCCTGGTCTCATTCTTTTAGGGCTCTGGTAAAAGTGAAACAAATCTAGCTGGTCTAGGAAATGAGACATGACTTTCCCTTTAAAAAGGAACCATGTAGTGTGTGTCATTATGACTCAATCTTAATAACCGGTGTCCAGAAAAATAATGAGATGTCAGAGAGTAATTTTGCCATAGCAACAGGCTGGGCAGATAGAGAAGGTTTAAAGACATACATTTTCAGTGGACAATTAGCATAGGTTTGGAAGTTATGATTTTTGACCTACAGATTAAAACAATCTTCTTCATTTAAAATGAAAATTTTCAATGAATAACCATTTAAAGTTATTTGTTAAAATGAAAATGAAAACCACCCCAAAATTTATAGTACCTCATATTTCCTACTCGGATAATAGTAGTGGACAATCTATTTTACTGCTAATAAATCAAAGCTGTGTGACCTCTTTATAGGACAGCTTACTAGCAATGGTCACATGAGTGGCTGTTCCTGATGTAGTCCTGTGGGAGGCCTGTCTGGTCTCATAGGCCTCTCCTTCAATCCTTTCCTAAAGATCTGTTGGAAGAAATACCATCCTCATCAGAGGGAGAACTGGTCTACTAAGGAGCCCACTGTTGTATGATGAGCTGCCTTCTTGGGAAGAAACCAGATTTGAGCAAGACCCGTTTGCCTCAGTCTGCTTTTCCTCAGTGTTGGCCTGTCCTAGCTGACAGTTTGCTCTTAATCATTCTTATAAGCTGTACATCTGCAGCCAGTTAAAAACTCACCTTACAAGATCCAGAGGCTGGTATTTATACCACACACCCCAGGAGGCCCAGCACTCATAGAGCAGATGTCGATGGTTTTCTGCTCCGTGGGTTCTAATGGAGTTTTTACTTCTGTAACTTCCCTGGGATTAAAAAAAAAAAAAAAAGCACTGCTGGTCAGGCAATATCCACAGATGCCATAAGGAAAAATTTGACAGCAAAACTAGACTCTTAGGGCAGAAGTAGAAACAGGACTGGGATGAGAATAAAATGGATCTTTACTATTAAAGTGAGAGCAGTTTGATTAGTTGTTCAGGACATTATCTTATTCACTATTCTGTCTAGCAGAAAGTGAATGCTTGCTGGAGTCAGGCAGGATTGAACTGATTTCAAATCCAGTTCCACTACTTTTCAGTTATGAGACCTACAATAAGCCCCCTAACCTTTCTGAGCCTTGGTTTCCTAATCCATAATGGAACTAATAATATCTACCTCAGTAGGTATATTCTACAGTTTGAACAGATAAAGTATCCACCCCAGAGCTTGGGCCCCAAAATTATTCATTCTTTCCCCTACTTCTTTCTGGATAGAGTGGTTGTTAAAGAGCCATACCTGCACCCTTGTCACATGGCCTTATCTGAAAGAAAATCCCAGAACATAAAAGCTGGAAGTCCTTTCTGAATTCTGATAGCTCAAATCTAATTCAACTTCCTCATTGACTAAATGAGAAGACCATGGGCCAGAGAAGTAGAGGTTTGTCTGAGGTCAGTTAATGGCAATGCTAGTTCCACACACCGAAACGAAACGTTCTGAAGGCACATAAAGTAGTCACAGTAACCTGAGAAATTCTTTCTTAATGGGAAGTGCATAGGACTGGGAACTGAGAAATGTGGGGTCTAGTCTCAGCTCAACCACAAACTCATGACGTGACCACAGAGTTTTTCTAAACCTCTATTTTTTTAAATGAAACAAGGGCAACCTTATTTGCCCCTTCTATCTCAAATGTTGTTAGGAGCTCCAACAATATAATAAAGTTAAACTGAGAGGAAAAAGCCAAGAAAGCAATTGTTATGATTACTGCTACTAGTGGTGGTATAAGAAGCCCTCATGGCACAGTGGCTAAGTGCTCAGTTGCTAACCAAAAGGTTGGTGGTTCAAACCCATCAGCTGCTCTGCAGGAGAAGATGTGGCAATCTGCTTCTGTTAAGATTATAGCCTTAGAAGCCCTATGAGTCAATTCTACTCTGTCCTATAGGGTTGCTATGAGTTGGAATCAACTCAATGGCAATGGGTTATTGTTGTTGTTAGCTACCATAGAGATGGCCTCTGACTCATTCAACCTTATGCACAATGGGAAAAATGCTGCCTGGGCCTGCGCCGACCCCGTGATTGGTTGTAAGCTGGATCATGGACAGCCACAGGGTTTTTCACTAGGTAGTCCTCAGAAGCAGACGGCCAAGTCTTTCTTCCTCGTCTGACTTAGTCTGGAAGCTCTGCTGAAACCCATGCAGCACCACAGAAACACACATCCCTCCACTGACAGATGAGTGGTGGGTGTGCGTTAGGGGCATCAGGTTGTTAGGAGGTTAAACAGCATAATAAAGTTAAGCTGAGAGTAAAAAGTCAAAAAAGGAATCATGCTATTATTTCTGCTGCTATTGGTGTTGTAAGGAGTCCTGGTGGGTACAGCGGTTAAGTAAAATTTGGGGCTCTTGCATTGAAGGCAGGCATTCTACCACTGAACCACCACTGCCCTCTCTGCTGCTATAACTAATTTGGAATTTCCCTTCTCAAAGAATACAGGGTGTTACTGAGAAATGAAAGCCACACAGAAGTCCATGAACTGCTGCATGGCATTTGATAGCTATGTCTCCTCAGACATCTTCACGCCCATACATGGACTCCTTAGCCCAATTCTTCTCAGTTAGCAAGGGCTCAGACCCTGTCCTTACCTTACCCTGCCAGGGCTGGGGAATGGGGAAGATGCAGTTTGCACTGAAACCCTTTTCTGGGCAATGCCTACATGATGCTCTTATGGGGAGTCTATCTTTGAGTTCAGGAATACTCGACTGTGGCTCTGGTACTGTGTGCTGTTGAGATGATTTTGACTCATAGCAACCCTACAGGGCAGAGTAGAACTGTCCCATAGCGTTTCCTAAGCTGAAATATTTATGGGAGAAGATTGTCACATCTTTTCTCCTGCAGAACTGCTGATGGGTTTGAACTGTTGACCTTTTGGCCTTTTGGTTAGCAGCCGAGTGCTTAACCATTGCACCACCAAGACTCCTTGAATATGGTTCTAGCAAACCTTTATTTCAAAATGTCTGCTTCTGTTGAACTAAAAGGAGCTGTCCACGACTGTTTCATGGTAGTCAGTAAATATTAGGTCTCAGACCACAGCTTTGCATTTTCTTAATAAACAGGATTTTTAATTCTATTTCACCTTTTACATCCTCTTTCTGTTTTAAAATCAAGAGGAGAGAAATTGTAATCCAAAGAAAATATGTTTTGGAAAGACTTGCCTTTTACAGTTGGAACTGTCCTCAAACATCTGTTGGCAAACTATCAGAGTTTTTTTTTCCTAAGAGAAGTCTATACTGAAGATTAATCTAACAGTAATTTCATCCTGGCTAGTTTGTGAGGTACCAGACGGCAGGAGTCATGGCATTTATCTTTGTATTCTAGGAACCACAGAGTGACCTATACAGAGTAGGGGCTCAATATCATGAGGTTTACAACGATCCCTCACTAGTAATGAGGATCATGTCCCTGAAAACCAATGTGTAGGGAAATTCTGAATTAAATGACCCAAGATCTACTCACCAAACAGAGGTAACAACAACCACCATTACATCTAGGATCATGCTTGGATATGACTAAGACCAAATACGAAGAATGTCAAAACTTATACATCTTAAATGAGTAATGATGAATACAATACTGTAATTTTCCATTTATCATCCTGTGGTCCTCAGAGACTTTGCAAGATGGTTTCCTCCCATTCTTTCAAGGAACAGCTATCGATGTCTTTGTTGCAGATACTGTATATTTCAAGAACATTTTCCTGCTGGGTCTGATGCCTCATGCAAATTTTCAATGCCTCTTTAATTTTATGACTTAAAGTCCCTAAGCCACTCCTCTGAATTCATGCTGAGTGACTCTTGATTCAAGTATTGTTTTCAATTACATAAAAAGAGAGAGGAATACATCTATGCTGGGAGGGAGATGTCCCAATGCAAGCAGGCTCTCACTACAAACCCACTGAACAAATTGAGTTCATCATGAACAAATGTCCTATCAACACATTCAGTGATTTTATCCCCAGAAGTAATTTCAGTAACAAGAAGTTGAAAGAAAGAGAAGGTGACAAGACAGGGCAATACCTCGTGCAGGGGAAATGCAGCTTCATAGGAGCCATTGGTAAGCAGGCGATTCAGGCCTAAAAGAACAATAAAGTCCAATTAAAAAGAGCTTCGCTGAAGCAAATCAAAATCAAACGAGTTGCCACTGAGTCAGTTCTGACTCGTGGAGACCCCATGTGTATGAGTGCAGAACTGTACTTCATAGGGTTTTCAATGGCTGATTTTTTTGGAATAGATTGCTAGGTGTCTCTGTGGACTTGAACTACCAATCTTTCAGTTAGCAGCAAAGTGCATTAATTGTACCATCAAGGAACTCCTTCACTGAGGTATAACCGACATATAATAAACCTCACATATTCAAAACATACAATTTGAAAAGTTTTCACATATGTATATACCCACGAAACCACCGCATAACTGAGATAGTGAATATATCCATCACACTCCAATTTTGACAGTGCCCTTTGGAATCTCTTATTCTTCTTCACATCACCTCCAAGGCAACCATTGATTTGGTATCTGTCAGTACCAATTAGTTTGGATTTTCTAGGGTTTTATATAAATGGAATTATACTGTGTGAACTCTTTTTTGTCTGATTTCTTTCACTCAGGATAGTTATTTTCAGTCATCTATGCTGTAGTGTGCATTAGTAGCTCATTTCTTCTTATTCTGAACAATATTCCATCATATGGATATAAAACAATTTATCCATTCTACTGATGATAGATATTTGGATTGTTTCCAGTGTTTGACTACTACAAAAAAAGCTGCAATGACATTTGTGTATGAGTCACTACATAGACTGTGCTTTTGTTTCTTTGGAGTAAATAACTAGAAGTGGAGTCATTGGCTGGGTTATATGCTAGATGTATGTTTAATTTTTTAAGAAACTGCCAGACTTTTCTGAAGTAGTGGTACAATTTTACACTCTCATGAGCAGTGTATGAGAGTTCCAGTTCCTCCATATCCTCACCAACACTTGCTATGGTTAGTATTTTTAGTTTTAGCCATTCTAATAGGTGTGTAAATTGTGGCTTTAATTTGAAGTTCTCTAATGACTTTGATATTGAATATTTCTCAGGTGTTTATTCGACATCTATATATTGTCTCTGGTGAAATGTCTGGTCAAATCTTACGCTTATGAAAGTTATTTTTTATTACTGACTTTTGAGTGTTCTTTATATATTCTAGATGTAGTCCTTTATTAGACATATGTTTTAGAAATATTTTTTTCCAATCTGTGGATTCTCTTGGCCATTATCTTAATATCTTCCAAAGAGTAGAAGTTTTAATTTTGATGAAGTCTGCTTCATCATGTTCTTTTTCTTTTATGATTTGTGCTTCTGGCATTGTATTTAAGAAATCTTTTCTTAACTCAAGGTCACAAAGATATTCTCTTGTGTTTTCTTCTGGAAGTTTTATAGTTTTTGTTGTACATTTAAATATATGATCCATTTTTTTAGTTAATTTTTGTATAAGGATTCATTTCTTTTTGTACACGATATTGTTTCAACACTTTGTCCACTGAATTGTCTTTTTGAGTTGTCAAAAATCAACTGTCTCTATATTTGTGGGTCTATTTCTGTATTCTCTATTCTTTAGATCTACTTGTCTATCTCTGCACTAATACCCACAGCGATAGAGTTGATTCTGACTCATAGCAACCTTATAGGACAAAGCAGAATTGCCCTACAGGGTTTCCAAGGCTGTAAATCTTTACAGAAACAGACTTCCTCTTCATTCTCCAACAGAGAGGCTGGTGGTTTCTTACCACTGTCCTTTTGGATAGCAGCCAAATGCTTGAACCACTGTGCCACCAGTGCTCCTTTGATTACCTTAGGTTTATAATAATTCTTGAAATCAGGTATGTTAGCTCTTCAATTTTGTTCTTTTTCAAAGTAGTTTTGACCATTTCATATCCATTAATTTCCCTATAAAATTTGAATCAGCTTACCAATTTCATAAATAAATCAAACCCGCTAGGATTTTGTCTGGGATTACAGTGAATCTATAGGTCAACTTGAGAAGAATTAACATCCTAACAATATCAAGCTTTCTGACCTAAGGACAAGGTATATCTGTCCATTTATTTAGGTCTTCTTTAATTTTTTCTCACCAATCTTGGCCAGAAATGGAAGCTTTATATGTTGATTTTTAAAATTCCTTTCAGGTCAAGAATTATGCTACTTCCTAAAATTCATCTCAGAGGGGATGATTAGAACAATGTCTCCAATGTCCATGAGGTGGCTTACAAGATGAAAACTCTTGACACTTTAGATTCAGATCAGAATCCAAAGGCTTAGCCTAAATAGAAAATGGCAGTTGTTCCAATGATTTATTTTTTGATGGAATGTCCATCACTGTTCAGACACTTGGAATCATAACAACATGCTGATATGCTTTGAGATTCTGGACATTAACACTAATTGTCTAAGGAAAACTGTGAAATACAAATGTCCATAGGGCCTTGTATTTTGCCTGGCACATAGGAGGCCCTCAATAAGTACTATGTAATGAACGAACTTTGATTGTCTGTGGTCTCTACTGAAATTCCACATATGTAATCAATAATTTTTAAACACCACAAACACTAGAAAACATAAGATTCACAGGGACCTAATGAGATACTCAGATGATAACCTTTGTAAGTATCATAATTTACCAAAGTCTTGTAAAGTAAGAAAGTAGCTAGTGATTAATGTCTACTAACTTCTTCCAAGCACAAGTTTTGAAAACAAACAAACAAAAACCAATTTCAATATTTATTGTGCATACCTATTATTATTATTTTATTATTTTAAAAAATAAAATAATAAATGATGAATAATAAAAGAATTAACAATTAATTTTTATTATGCTATGAATTGTTCTATTTTGTACATAGGTTTAACCAGGTTTAATTTTCACAGTTGTAAAAAATTCAGAGTGAAGCTGAGAAACTTATATAGTGGCAGTTGATACTCCATTGAAAGACTCTTATGAATCATGTCTACAAAACATGGAATAATGTTTCCATGTTTTCTGTAAACAGTGTTGGTTCATTCAAGATACTACATTCAAGAAGGAGTTTCAAGCAGATAAAACATTGGATAAACATTAATTCTATCAAGAAATTAAATTATCTTCTAATATGTTGTTTTTACTTTTTATAAAACCAAAGATGATAATGAAACATGGGGTCAATGGACATATGTTGTAAGTTACTCCATATTCTTGGCCATCATGCCTGACTCTGGGTTTATAATTTCTCTGTGATTCATTTTTTTCTAATTAGATACATTTCCAATTCTTCAGTACCAATTTTTAAAGTACTGGGATGCTTGAATAGAATTGTCCTTATCCCTTCATCAAATGAGAATCTTTCATAAACAGCCTTCCTCACTAGTAACTATTCCACACTTCCTTGTACTCCTGTAGAACATCTAAAAGTCACTGTCTCTGCGTTTGTCTCCATCTTGACTGTTGTAAAAACAACACACATTTTGGGAGGCGAAAATCTGACCCAATAATTGTTATTTGGCCCTGTGTACCCTGCTTTTGGTTGTGTAAGGAAGGGGAACATCTGATAGGTTTAAAAGATCTCCAATTCAGCTTCATAAAGTTATAAAATTCCTACTCTATGCCCAACACTATGCTAGGTAATGATGATAAAAAGATGAATAAGTCAGTTCCCTTACAACTAAGGTGCTTCTTATCTAGACTAGCAGTTTCCAGTTGCAGTTTCTAAATACACGAATGTGTTATAATGAAATTGTGAGGTGTGCTACAAATGATAGCATTAATATCAGTGTTTCTGGAGCTATTACATTTTATGAAATAATCCAGAATAATTACTACCAAAATAATTTCACTTTCACTTTCTTTCTTTCTAATATGTTCATGATATGCTGCTGCCTAAAAAAAAAAAAGATAATAAACTATCTAAAACACATCCTAATTTTGTTAAAAAGTCAGATGGATCAATAGGAAAATTATAAAAAGTAGTGTTTCATATAATCTTTTTTTGTTGTCGTTGTTATGTGCCGTCGAGTTGGACCCGACTCATAGCAACCCCTCCTTGGATTTCCAAGGCAGTATCACTATGGAAGTAAATTGCCCCATTTTCCTTCCGAGGAGTGGCTGGTGGGTTTGAACCGCCAGCCTCTGGTTAGCAGTCAAGTGCCTCAGGCACTGTGCTACCGTATATCAAAATGCTAACAGTGGTTCTCTTAGATGGCAGAAGTTTTATAATATCATTAAAAGTAAATAACTCAAGACACTAAGATTTTTCTATGATTAATGATCAAACAAACACTCTCAAAATAATTGCCATAGAGATTTAGAAGAGGGAAGAATTCTTTACAAATAGAATGGTTCAGGAGACTTCATGGAGGGAATGTGTGTTCAGGACAAGTAACTGCTGCAGAGAACATGGAGGTCATGTTGAAGTACACACACACACACACACATCCACACAACAAACAACAAAAAAAACCAAACTCACACTCACTGCCATTGAGTTGATTCATGTTCAAGTACAACCCTATCAAAATTAAGAAAGACCTAAATCAGGTTTGATTTTACCATACCCACCTATGTCGACTCTCACTTAACATAATACTTCATGTGTTTTCAGATATAAACTAGGGAGCTATCTATTTCTCCTTATTATATTTTAATTTATGCAGCTTAGAATCAAAACAGTCTTGTTGGCAGCTTCATAATACCAGTGACTCACACTAAGCTTGCATTCAACTAAACTCTCAAGGCTCTTCCTCTCATGATGCTGTTGAACAACATTTCCCTCACAATGCAGTAGTAGTTTTGCTGAGTTTTAGTATAGGACTTTACACTTAAAACTGTTAAATTCCATCTTGCTGGATTTGGCTGAGAGTTCTAAGGCACTGATCTCTCTTTTAGGCTCCTGACTCAAATAGTTAATAAACTTATTATTTTCTCTCCAGTCTTTACCCTACCCCAAAGCTTGAGAAACAGGCCATTTAGGCTATGTCCCTGCTATCAAGCTACTGCCTTTCAGCTCCAAATGCGTCTATATTGCCTACTCTTCAATAATGGAGCAGGACATTGTAAAAATTTCTCTTTGGTCTACTGGTACAGTGCTAGCTCTGTCAGTAGAGGGCACCACAGAGACACTAAGGAGGAAGAGGTTTCTCTTCCTGTTACCAGTGTGTGCCTCCTGGAGGCTTCCTCAATACATACCGTCTACAGTGCCCAGCTTCTGCAGTACATGGTGACCAGCAACACAAAGCATTTCCCCAAAGGCAGCTTCATACAGGAGCTCTGCCAGCATAGCAAAACCAAAACCAAACTCACACTCACTGCCGTTGAGTGAGATCCAACTCATAGCGACCCCTCCTTGGGTTTCCAAGGCAGTATCACTACAGAAGTAGATTGCTCAATCTCCCATCCAAGGAGTGGCTGGTGGGTTTGAACCACCAGCCTTCTGGTAGCAGTCAAATGCCTTAGGCACTTTGCCACCAGAGCACCCCTATAAATGGCTTCCCTGGAACTCCCTCAGGCTGTTTTGCAGTGTGTTCTGAAGCTCAGTACCACCAGCCTCCAGGGGGCCTATTCCCAGGAGTTCAGCAGGCAAACAGTGCCTCAGCAAACCGTTCTACCACCTATCACAGCCACACCCCCTCCAGTGAGGTCTGAACTTCAGCTCTGGGGTTGGGGGTCTTAGGAGCAGTTGCTGCTACCAGTATCTGTTATGCCTTTATCTTTCAGAGTTCTCCCCACCCTCTTTTAGCCAATCTCTCATTACACTGATCCCTGTCATGTTTAATTATTGATATTAACCTTTCTCTGTTCAGATTATATATGGTTTTGTTTCCTGATTGGACCTTGCTTGATACAGGTCATTTCAAACTATGGATACAAATCTTGCTGGGCAGAAATAAGATCAAGGCTATCCAAATCCCCAATACATAATAACCTGACTAATAAGACAGGTAATTTGGTAATATAATATGGAAGGTCCTCATAAATATGGTTAAAATACAAAATGTAGAGTCTGTCTAATGGAGGAGATGATACTTGGAGAATTTATTCAAGTGCAACAGCTCATCTCTGTACTTGGAGCTCCCTCTGCTTGAAACATCCAATCCTCAATTTCCTATCCTGGTTCCTTCTTGTCTTTCAGGCCTCAGTTCAAATTTTACCTCCTCAATGAAGGTCTCTTCACCACCAATCCCAATTAGCTTAAATTAATTCCCACCTTTTTTTTTAACCAGTCTGTCTTTGTAACATCACTCATTTTATTTTCTTCATCTTACTTATTATACTTACTTGTTTATTGTCTGCTTTCAACTTCTTGATAAATTCCAGGGCAGAATAGTACTTATCTCCCTAATATCTAGCCCAGTGCCTGGCCTATAATGGACATTTCATAAAAGGTATGGATTTGACATTAAAAAAAAAAAAAAAA